ATATGTGAAGGGTGAATGTGTATGCTGGGTGTATATGTGAAGGGTGTAGGTGTATGCTGGGTGTATATGTGAAGGGTGTGTGTGTGTATGCTGGGTGTCTATGTGAAGGGTGTAGGTGTATGCTGGGTGTCTATATGAAGAGTGTACTGTAGGTGTATGCTGGGTGTCTATATGAAGGGTGTGTGTATATGCTGGGTGTATATGTGAAAGGTGTATGTGTGTGTGCGTATGCTGGGTGTCTATGTGAAGGGTGTAGTTGTATGATGGGTGTATATGTGAAGGGTGTGTGTGTATGATGGGTGTATATGTGAATGATGTGTGTGTGTATGCTCGGTGTATATGTGAATGGTGTAGGTGAATGCTGGGTGTATACGTGAAGGGTATGTGTATGCTGGGTGTAAATGTGAAGGGTGTGTGTATGCTGGGTGTACATGTGAAGGGTGTGTGTGTATGCTGGGTGTATACGTGAAAGGTGTGTGTGTATATGCTGGGTGTATATGTGAAGGGTGTAGGTGTATGCTGGGTGTATATGTGAAGAGTGTGTGTGTGTATGCTGGGTGTAAATGTGAAGGGTGTGTGTGTGTATGCTGGGTGTAAATGTGAAGGGTGTACGTGTATGCTGAGTGTATATGTGAAGGGTGTGTGTGTGTGTATATGCTGGGTGTCTATGTGAAGAGTGTACTGTAGGTGTATGCTGGGTGACTATATGAAGGGTGTGTGTATATGCTGGGTGTATATGTGAAGGGTGTGTGTGTGTGTGCGTATGCTGGGTGTCTATGTGAAGGGTGTAGTTGTATGATGGGTGTATATGTGAAGGGTGTGTATGCTGGGTGTATATGTGAAGGGTGTGTGTGTATGCTGGGTGTATATGTGAAGGGTGTAGGTGTATGCTGGGTGTATATGTGAAGGGTGTGTGTGTATGCTGGTTGTATACGTGAAAGGTGTGTGTGTATGCTGGGTGTATATGTGAAGGGTGTAGGTGTATGCTGGGTGTATATGTGAAGAGTGTGTGTGTATGCTGGGTGTATATGTGAAGGGTGAATGTGTATGCTGGGTGTATATGTGAAGGGTGTAGGTGTATGCTGGGTGTATATGTGAAGGGTGTGTGTGTGTATGCTGGGTGTCTATGTGAAGGGTGTAGGTGTATGCTGGGTGTCTATATGAAGAGTGTACTGTAGGTGTATGCTGGGTGTCTATATGAAGGGTGTGTGTATATGCTGGGTGTATATGTGAAAGGTGTATGTGTGTGTGCGTATGCTGGGTGTCTATGTGAAGGGTGTAGTTGTATGATGGGTGTATATGTGAAGGGTGTGTGTGTGTGTATGATGGGTGTATATGTGAAGGATGTGTGTGTGTGTATGCTCGGTGTATATGTGAAGAGTGTAGGTGTATGCTGGGTGTATATGTGAAGGGTGTGTGTGTATGCTGGGTGTATATGTGAAGGGTGTATGTGTATGCTGGGTGTCTATGTGAAGGGTGTAGGTGTATGCTGGGTGTCTATGTGAAGGGTGTGTGTGTGTATGCTGGGTGTCTATGTGAAGGGTGAATGTGTATGCTGGCTGTATATGTGAAGGGTGTAGGTGTATGCTGGGTGTGGATGTGAAAGGTGTAGGTGTATGCTGGGTGTATATGTGAAGGGTGTAGGTGTATACTGGGTGTATGCGTGAAGGGTGTGTGTGTATGATGGGTGTATATGTGAAGGGTGTAGGTGTATGCTGGGTGTACATGTGAAGGGTGTGTGTGTATGCTGTGTGTATATGTGAAGGGTGTAGGTGTATGCTGGGTGTACATGTGAAGGGTGTGTGTGTATGCTGGGTGTAAATGTGAAGGGTGTGTGTGTATGCTGGGTGTATATGTGAAGGGTGTGTGTGTGTATGCTGGGTGTATATGTGAAGGGTGTGTGTGTATGCTGGGTGTACATGTGAAGGGTGTATGCTGAGTGTATATGTAAAGGGTGAAGGTGTAGGCTGGGTCTATATGTGAAGGTTGTGTGTGTATGCTGGGTGTATATGTGAAGGGTGTGTGTATGCTGGGTGTATATGTGAAGGGTGTAGGTGTATGCTGGGTGTACATATGAAGGGTGTGTGTGTGTGCTGGGTGTAAATGTGAAGGGTGTAGGTGTATGCTGGGTGTACATGTGAAGGGTGTATGTGTATGTTGGGTGTATATGTGAAGGGTGTGTGTATATGCTGGGTGTATTTGTGAAGGGTGTATGCTGGGTGTACATGTTAATGGTGTATGCTGGCTGTATATGTGAAGGGTGTAGGTGTATGCTGGGTGTATATATGATGGGTGTAGGTGTATGCTGGGTGTATATGTGAAGGGTGTGTATGCTGGGTTTATATGTGAAGGGTGTAGGTGTATGTTGAGTGTATATGTGAAGGGTGTAGGTGTATGCTGGGTGTATGCGTGAAGGGTGTAGGTATATGCTGGGTGTATATGTGAAGGGTGTGTGTGTATGCTGAGTGTATATGTGAAGCGTGTGTGTGTATGCTGGGTGTATATGTGAAGTGTGTAGGTGTATGCTGGGTGTATATTTGAAGGGTGTACGTGTATGCTGGGTGTATATGTGAAGGGTGTAGGTGTATGCTGGGTGTATATGTGAAGGGTGTGTATGTTGGGTGTATATGTGAAGGGTGTGTGTATGCTGGGTGTATATGTGAAGGGTGTAGGTGTATGCTGGGTGTATATGTGAAGGGTGTAGGTGTATGCTGGGTGTATATATGAAGGGTGTGTGTGTGCTGGGTGTATATGTGAAGGGTGTTTGTGTATGCTGGGTGTACATGTGAAGGGTGTGTGTGTATGCTGGGTGTATATGTGAAGGGTGTAGGTGTATGCTGGGTGTATATGTGAAGGGTGTAGGTGTATGCTGGGTGTATATGTGAAGGGTGTGTGTGTATGCTGGGTGTATATGTGAAGGGTGTAGGTGTATGCTGGGTGTACATGTGAAGGGTGTATGCTGGGTGTATATGTGAAGGGTGTAGGTGTATACTGGGTGTACATGTGAAGGGTGTGTGTGTATGCTGGGTGTATATGTGAAGGGTGTAGGTGTATGCTGGGTGTATATGTGAAGGGTGTAGGTGCATGCTGGGTGTACATGTGAAGGGTGTGTGTGTATGCTGGGTGTATATGTGAAGGGTGTGTGTGTATATACTTGCCCTGTGTATGGTTTAGTGCACTGCTACCAGAATACGATTCCCGCTCACGACAAAACTGTGGAGAAATATTTTATCCCGCTATGGGCCCCCCCCCATCCCCTATGTTGAGTGAGTCTCAAATGAGTGCCTGGTGCGATGTGTAAACGTCACCTCTCGGGAGACAAAGGCGGCCGGGCGTTGTGCTGGCCACCCACCCACCCCCTCGTGTGCCGCCCTTCATAGGTGTTCGCAAACAACACCTGCCCCAACAATCTTTTGAAGGCGATACGTTTGTATTCTATATGTGTATATATGACTATATATGACTATATGTGTATATGTGACTGAATTTTTGCGATAATGTCGCTCTGTGTGTGTGTTGCTGTGTCTGTAAGTCGCTCGGTCAGTCTGCAGCCGCTCCGTGTCACTCGCCGTGTGTGTATGTCAGTGTGTGTGTATGAGTGTGTGTGTCAGTGTGTGTATGAGTGTGTGTCAGTGTGTGTGTATGAGTGTGTGTCAGTGTGTGTGTATTAGTGTGTGTCAGTGTGTGTGTATGAGTGTATGTCAGTGTGTGTGTATTAGTGTGTGTCAGTGTGTGTGTATGAGTGTATGTGTCAGTGTGTGTGTATGAGTGTGTGTCAGTGTGTGTGTATGAGTGTGTGTGTCAGTGTGTGTGTATGAGTGTGTGTCAGTGTGTGTGTATGAGTGTATGCCAGTGTGTGTGTATGAGTGTGTATGTCAGTGTGTGTGTATATGAGTGTGTGTGTCAGTGTGTGTATGAGTGTGTGTCAGTGTGTGTGTATGAGTGTATGTCAGTGTGTGTGTATGAGTGTGTGTCAGTGTGTGTGTATGAGTGTGTGTCAGTGTGTGTGTATGAGTGTATGTCAGTGTGTGTGTATGAGTGTATGTCAGTGTGTGTGTATGAGTGTGTGTCAATGTGTGTATGAGTGTATGTCAGTGTGTGTGTATGAGTGTGTGTCAGTGCGTGTGTATGAGTGTGTGTGTCAGTGTGTGTGTATGAGTGTATGCCAGTGTGTGTGTATGAGTGTGTATGTCAGTGTGTGTGTATGAGTGTGTGTGTCAGTGTGTGTATGAGTGTGTGTCAGTGTGTGTGTATGAGTGTATGTCAGTGTGTGTGTATGAGTGTGTGTCAGTGTGTGTGTATGAGTGTGTGTCAGTGTGTGTGTATGAGTGTATGTCAATGTGTGTGTATGAGTGTGTGTGTCAGTGTGTGTATGAGTGTGTGTCAGTGTGTGTGTATGAGTGTGTGTCAGTGTGTGTGTATGAGTGTTTGTATATGAGTTTGCTCGCTAACAGCACTTGCCCCTACAGTCTGTTAAGGCTATATGGGGGATCTTTGTTTGTGTATGTGTGTGTCAGTGTGTGTCTGTGTGTGTGCGTGCAAGTCGCTCGCCGCGTGTGTCGGCGTGTGTGTGTGTCGGCGTGTGTGTGTATGTATTCGTGTGTGTGTGTCGGGGTGTGTGTGTGTGTATCCGTGTGTGTCCGCGTGTCCGCGCCGGGCCTTGACGCGCGCGATCGCTCCACGCGGCGCGTGCGGCGGGCGGGTGGCGCGGCGCGGTGATTAGCGACAGATTTAAGGCTCGGCAGCAGCAGCAGCGGCGGCGGCAGCAGTGAGAGAGAGCGCACGGGAGATGGAGGGGGGAGATGGAGGAGGGGGGTGGTTGGCGGTGGTGGCGGAGGAGATGGAGAGACGGAGGGAGGGGAATGCGTGCCCGAGCGCGCTGCGGTCGGCTGCGGTGTTTGGGATAACACGGCAGGGGAGGGAGGGGAGGGAGGGAGGAGGGGAGGCCGCGTGTTCGAAGCGGAAAAAATCAGAGAGAGAGAGGGGAGAAAAAAACCCACCAGAGAGAAACCCCTCGCGGGTGAGCGATGGCGGCGTCGAGTGGTGGCGCTGATGGACCGAGATGGGGCTCCGCGGGGGGGGGGCGGTGCGTGCGGTGGGGGGAGGGGAGGGTGGGGGAGGTGGGGGGAGGGTGGGGGAGGTGGGGGGAGGGTGGGGGGAGGGGGGAGCTCGTCGCGGCTCTAATCGCTTCACGAATGCTCCATTAACACATTAAGCGGTGGCCTCCCTGCCGCTGGGCTCGTGAGGGAGAGAAGCAATCAGCACCCCCCCCTGCCAGAGTCGGCGGCGCTGAGCAGGTCTCTGCGACCAAATTACTACCACTACTACTAACACTACTACCACTACTACTAACACTACTAACACTACTACTAACACTACTAACACTACTACTAACACTACTAACACTAACACTACTAACACTACTACTAACACTACCACTACTACTAACACTACTAACACTAACACTACTACTAACACTACTAACACTACTACTACCACTACTAACACTACTAACACTACTACTAACACTACTACTAACACTAACACTACTAACACTAACACTACTACCACTACTAACACTACTAACACTACTACTAACACTACTACTAACACTACTACTAACACTACTAACACTACTACTAACACTACTAACACTACTACTAACACTACTAACACTAACACTACTACTAACACTACTACTACTAACACTACTAACACTAACACTACTAACACTAACACTACTACTAACACTACTAACACTACTACTAACACTACTAACACTAACACTACTAACACTAACACTACTAACACTAACACTACTACTAACACTACTAACACTAACACTACTACTAACACTACTAACACTACTACTAACACTACTAACACTAACACTACTAACACTACTACTAACACTACTAACACTAACACTACTACTAACACTACTACCACTACTAACACTACTAACACTAACACTACTAACACTACTACTAACACTACTAACACTAACACTACTAACACTGCTAACACTACTAACACTACTACCACTACTACTAACACTACTAACACTAACACTACTAACACTACTACTAACACTACTAACACTACTAACACTAACACTACTACTAACACTACTAACACTAACACTACTACTAACACTACTAACACTACTACTGACACTACTAACACTACTAACACTAACACTACTAACACTACTACTAACACTACTAACACTAACACTACTAACACTAACACTACTAACACTACTACTAACACTACTAACACTACTAACACTAACACTACTACTAACACTACTAACACTACTACTGACACTACTAACACTACTAACACTAACACTACTAACACTACTACTAACACTACTAACACTAACACTACTAACACTGCTAACACTAACACTACTAACACTAACACTACTAACACTACTACTAACACTACTAACACTACTAACACTGCTAACAATAACACTACTAACACTAACACTACTAACACTAACACTACTAACACTGCTAACACTAACACTACTAACACTAACACTACTAACACTACTACTAACACTAACACTACTAACACTAACACTACTACTAACACTACTAACACTACTAACACTGCTAACACTACTACTAACACTACTACTAACACTAACACTACTAACACTACTACTAACACTACCACTACTAACACTAACACTACTAACACTACTAACACTACTACTAACACTACTACTAACACTACTACCACTACTACTAACACTACTAACACTAACACTACTAACACTAACACTACTACTAACACTACTACTACTAACACTACTAACACTAACACTACTACTACTGACACTACTAACACTACTAACACTAACACTACTAACACTACTACCACTACTAACACTACTAACACTAACACTACTACTACTGACACTACTAACACTACTAACACTAACACTACTAACACTACTACCACTACTAACACTACTAACACACTACTAACACTACTACTACTAACACTACTACTACCACTACTAACACACTACTAACACTACTACTACTAACACTACTACTACTAACACTACTAACACTAACAACACTACTAACACTACTAACACTACTACTACTACTAACACTGCTAACACTACTAACACTACTACCACTACTAACACTACTAACACACTACTAACACTACTACTACTAACACTACCACTACTAACACTACTACTCCTAACACTAACACTACTAACACCACTACTACTGCTAACACTACCACTACTACTAACACTAACACTACTAGCACTAACACTACTAACACTACTACCACTACTAACACCACTGCTAACACTACTGCTAACACTACTAACACTACCACTACTAACACCACTACTACCACTACTAACACTACCACTACTAACACTAACACTACTAACACTACCACTACTAACACTACCACTACTAACACTACCACTACTAACACCAGTACTAACACTACCACTACTAACACTACCACTACTAACACTACTAGTACTAACACTACTAGCACTAACACTACTAACACCACTACTACTGCTAACACTACCACTACTCCTAACACTACTAGCACTAACACTACTAACACTACTACTAACACTACTAACACCACTACTACTACTAACACTACTAACACTAACACTACTAACACTACCACTACTAACACTACCACTACTAGCACTAACACTACTAACACTAACACTACTAACACTACCACTACTAACACTACCACTACTAGCACTAACACTACTAACACTAACACTACTAACACTACTACTAACACTACCACTGCTAACACTACTAACACTACCACTACTAACACCACTGCTAACACTACTGCTAACACTACCACTACTAACACCACTACTAACACTACCACTACTAACACTACTACTACTAACACTAACACTGCTAACACTACTAACACTACCACTACTAACACCACTACTAACACTACTAACACTACCACTACTAACACCACTACTAACACTACTAGCACTAACACTACTAGCACTAACACTACTAGCACTAACACTACTAACACCACTACTACTGCTAACACTACTACTAACACTACTAGCACTAACACTACTAACACTACTACTAACACTAACACTACTAACACCACTGCTACTAACACTACTAACACTAACACTACTAACACTACCACTACTAACACTACCACTACTAGCACTAACACTACTAACACTAACACTACTAACACTACTACTAACACTACCACTACTAACACCACTGCTAACACTACTGCTAACACTACTAACACTACCACTCCTAACACTAACACTACTAATACTACCACTACTAACACTACCACTACTAACACTAACACTACTAACACTACCACTACTAACACCACTACTAACACTACCACTACTAACACTACCACTACTAACACTACTACTACTAACACTACTAGCACTAACACTACTAATACTACTAACACCACTACTAACACTACCACTGCTAACACTACTACTAACACTACTAGCACTAACACTACTAACACTACCACTACTAACACTACTACTACTAACACTGCTACTAACACTACTACTACTAACACTACCACTACTACTACTAACACTACTAACACTAACACTACTACTAACACTACTACTAACACTACTAGCACTACTACTAACACTACTAACACTACTACTAACACTACTAACACTACTACTAACACTAACACTACTAGCACTACTACTAACACTACTAACACTACTACTAACACTACTCCTAACACTAACACTACTACTAACACTACTAATGTGTGAGGATAGCCAATTAGGCGCGGCTACGCGGCGGGGGAGAGGCCGCGCGGCTCGATGATCCCCGCTCAGACATCGCGAATCTGACGCGGCGAGATGAAGCCAATTACGGGGCCGGGTTCAACAGCGGGAGGGAGCTGCTGGTGGTGGTGGGGGGGGGGGAGGCGGGGGTGGGGGGCAGCCCCCTGAGGGGGGCAGCAGCAGCAGCTCGGGGATTATCGAGTCATCAGCGCCGCGGCCCGCGGGGAGGTCAACCTCCCCGCGGGCCGGGTCGCCGCTTATCGGAGACGTTTACCCCCCCCAGCCCCGCCCCCCTCGCTCGCTCAGCACCCCGCCCCGCGCGGAGTGTGGGGGAGAGAGAGAGGGGAGGGAGGGAGAGAGGGGAGGGAGAGAGAGAGGGGAGGGAGGGGAGGGAAGGGAAAGAGGGGAGAGAGGGGAGAGAGGGAGGGAGGGAGGGGAGGGAGGGGAGGGGAGGGGGGGAGGGGAGGGAGGGGAGGGAGAGAGGGGAGGGAGGGGAGGGAGGGGAGAGAGGGGAGGGAGGGAGGGGAGGGAGGGGAGAGAGGGGAGGGAGGGAGGGGAGAGAGGGGAGGGAGGGAGGGGAGGGAGGGGAGGGGAGGGAGGGAGGGAGGGGAGAGAGGGGAGGGAGGGAGGGGAGGGAGGGGAGGGAGGGGAGGGAGGGGAGGGAGGGAGGGGAGGGGAGGGAGGGGAGGGAGAGAGAGGGGAGGGAGGGGAGGGAGGGGAGGGAGAGAGGGGAGGGGAGGGGGGGAGGGGAGGGAGGGGAGGGAGAGAGGGGAGGGAGGGGAGGGAGGGGAGAGAGGGGAGGTAGGGAGGGGAGAGAGGGGAGGGAGGGGAGAGAGGGGAGGGGGGGGGAGGGGAAGGGAGGGAGGGGAGGGAGAGAGGGGAGGGGATGGAGGGAGAAGAGAGGGAGGGGAGGGGATGGAGGGAGAAGAGAGGGAGGGAGGGAAGAGAGGGAGGGGAGGTTCCCACGATTTACCCCACCGCGAGAGAGCGGAGCATTGACGTGGAGCGGAGCTGAGCGCTGCTCGATAACGATGAGCGGCGAGGAGGAGTCCCTGCCGGCGCGCGGAGGAGACGCGGAGGAGACGCGTTCATCCCATTCAATTAGCGCCGCGTCCTGGGGGAGGCGGAGGGGCGGGGAGCGCGCGAGGACGGTGACCGCACACGCGGGCAACGACCGGCCCGCTCCCCCTCCCCCCCACACTCCCGCC